TTGGTGTTTTGTTACATTTTTAAGTATTTGTCACTTTTTTGAGTTTGTATCACTTTTTGAGTGCGTGTCACTTTTTTTAAATTTTGTCACCGTTTTTTTATAAAAAAGTGACAATATTTATAAAAAAAGTGACTCACTTTTTTATTTTATACAGTATTTTTTACTTTCTAAAAACCTTTCACATGATTTTCAACACATCCTAATTTTAAGGGTATTTTTGTAAGTATCCTATAATATTATACGTAAGTATTTTTACCACAAGTTTACCAATTTAGCCCTTGTTTGGACTTTATTTAAAGAAAGAAAATGCATTTTTCTCTATCTTATTTCAACCATGCATTTTTTAATAAAATAATATTACGCATAAATTCAAAATTTTTTCTTATTTTTTAACTACACATTTTCCAAAAAATAACTATTTTAAAATATATTTTTCCTCAAAATTCACTTTTAATAGAGCCCAAACAAGAGCTTAGCCCAAACACTCATTTTCAACATCACATTCTAGTAACAAAATTTTTTGCTCGTAAACCAATTTTTATTCTCTATTTATTAATCACAAATTTTCCAAAAAAATTACTATTCAAAACTTCATTTTTTCGAATTAATTGTTTGAATACTCACTAAAATTTATCGAATTAATTGTTTGAATACTCACTAAAATTTACACAGTGTCACATTTTACTCATTATACTTTATTTTGCACTCCATTATTCACGGAACTTTGTAAAGTTGCACTTCATTGCTCATGTGCTCACCGAATAACTTCCGTCTACACCAAGCGCCTTCATGGATGATGGTTTTGCACATGTGTCCGTTAAATTAAATGCCACGTAATTAATTGTCATCTCCCCCAACACGCTATTTTAATTTGAAAGCATATGATGAAAATCCTATACAGAAAAACGAGATCCATCATAGAACCATTTTCATCTATCAGACTCAAATCTTAGATTCCCAAATCGCGTGAACCCTAACTCCAATTCAAAATTGATCCGAAATTGAAGACCCGGCAATGGTGATTTGCTCAGTCCGTTGACATGAGAGAACAAACAAAGGTAATTCAGAATTTTTTTTTCCAACTTTTTTTTTTATATCACTTCTACTGCCTTCGTTGTTCCCAGTAATATTTTTTGTTAAAAT